AGAAGATTTCATACCTCGCAGAAAATTCATGCATCACTAGTTAATTCATGCATCGAGAGTTAATATTCATGCATCGAGAGTTAATTCATGCATTGCGAGTTAATATTCATGCATCGAGAGTCAATTCATGCATCACTAGTTAATATTCATGCATCGCGAGTTAATATTCATGCATTGCGAGTTAATATTCATGCATCGAGAGTTAATATTCATGCATCGCGAGAAGATTTCATACCTCGCTGAAATGTATGCATCGCAAGAAGATTTCATACCTTGCGGAATTCATGCATCACTAGTTAATTCATGCATCACGAGAAGATTCCATACCTCGCAGAAAATTCATGCATAGCGAGAAGATTTCATACCTCGCAGAAAATTCATGCATCGCGAGAAAATTTCATACCTCGCAGAAAATTCATGCATCGCGAGAAGATTCCGTACCTCACAGAAAATTCATGCACCGCTAGAAAATTTCATACCTCGCAGAAAATTCATGCATCGCGAGAAGATTCCATACCTCGCAGAAAATTCCGTGCATCGCGAGAAGATTTCATACCTCGCAGAAAATTCATGCATCACTAGTTAATATTCATATATCGAGAGTCAATTCATGCATCGAGAGTTGATTCATGCTTCGCGAGTTAATTCATGCATCACTAGTTAATATTCATGCATTGCGAGTTAATATTCATGCATCACGGATTAATATCCATGAATCGTGAGAAGATATCATCCCTCGCAAAATTTCATGCATCGCGAGAAGATTCAATTCCTCGCAAAAGTTTACATATCGCAAGAAGATTTTATACCTTGCCGATTTTATGCACTGCGAGAAGATCTCATCCCTCGCAAAATTTTATGCATCGCGAGAAGAATTCATCCCTCGCAAAATTTGAACATCGCAGGAAGATATTCATGCCCTGAAAGCAATCATGCACTGCAAGAAAAAGAATCGTGCATCTCAAAGGAAATATTTATCCCTCAACGTCAACTGACGTTAAATGCCGAGGAGAGAAATTGAGTGTCGACACGGTGGAAGTCACTGTCTCCCATTTAAATTGCATTTTTAAGCTGACGAGTTTTATCTCAGTCTTTGTCAAGAGCATTCGAAAGGATGAATTTCTTCAACAAAAAAAATAAAAGAAGATAAAAAAAAAAAAAACAGGTGCATACTACTTCAACAAGGACGCAACGCATCATGGAACCTTTTGGAGACAGGTCTGGGATTGACTTCCACCACATGCAACCGTACTTCTCTACAAAGGTCATGTGTTCGGTCAAAATTGGGTTTGTCAATTTTCGTTGTCCACGATTTCTTTCATCAATCATACACAACGAAAGGGACAGCTGTTGACACCCAATTTTGGCCTAACATTTTAAAAATTCGTGATTTTGAAGCTTTATTTATTTAATAGCAAATTTTGGTCCGATGATTTTAAAATTCATACATTTTGAGTCAAATACAAAAAAAAAATTGACTTTCCCACATTGTCTCTCAAACAATTTTTCAATTTTGCAATAGCCCCACATCGGTATTTCATCCTTTTTGAGTATTTTTGGGTTTCTATATAAGCCCACTTCATTCACTATTTTTAGAGGAGGATTGGAGGGAAAAATAAAAGAATGCTCATAAAATTTTGAGAATTCTTGGTTCCCATAGTTCAAAAAATTTTAAAGTGTTTTTGTGGTTTTTCGAGTTGAGGAGGTGGAGTCGTCTCTTTCAAACTCGGAGTTCCGGTTCGCTGTCCAGAACCAGGTAAATTTTTTTTTCTTAGCCTTGTTTTATTTAATTCCCAGCTCTTTTATGTTTTCTGTTTATTATATGTAGCTTGTTTTGTTTTTTAGTTTAATGTAGTTCTAAAAGTCAATCAATATTTGTGTTTATTGTAGTTTTAATATTAGCATTATTTTACGATTCGATGTTTATTTATTTATTATTACTATTATTTTAAAATTGTTAGTCAACTATTTGCTATCTTAACTTTTCAGGATTTTGTTATTATTCTATTTTAATGTTATTTTTAATTTTTATATATTACGTTATTGTTGTTTCCATTTCTAATTATGTTATTTTAGTTTGGTTGTTGTTTTCCATATTCTCTTGTGATAAGTTTGTTATGTTTTGTTGATGTTCAGTTTATATATTTTATACGTTGAAAAGGGCCAATGAGAAAACTCTCCGTCGGTTTTGGAGGCCTCCCCATTTTTAAAGACGGAAATCTAATTCAAGTTTATATATATTTTTAGTTGTTGAAATGGGCCGATGAAGAAATTACCGTCGATTTCCAAGGTCTCCCATGTCAATAAGACGGATTTTTGTTCTTAAGTTATTATTTGAGTTATTCATTTTTATTTATATTTATTTGGCACTAACTCTTTTACTAAGTGTCTTTACAGGTACCTGGAGGTGCTTCTCCTTTTATTTCATTATTGTAAATATTGACGTTAGGCAAACCTTAGGCCAATAATTATTATTTTATTTTATTGTGCATATTCAATGTTTATTATACTTGTACATTATTTTATATTTTTCCTCAATTTGAAAAAAAAAATGAATTCAGTCGGGAACCACATTTGTGGATTCCGAAGGGTGCCTAACCCCTTCCCTTCGGAATAACTTGAACCCCTTACCTAGAATCAATTTGGTTTCGTAGATTAATAATCGGTTTCCTAGTTTTTCCTAAAATTAGGTGGCGACTCATTTTAAAACTCGTTTATTTTTAAAACTTTGTTAAAATTGAATCAATTAATTATTTTCAAGTTGTCGCGACGTTTCGTCCTATTTCAAAAGAGTAGGGATGTAAACAGAATGGCGACTCTGCTGGGGGAGTTTAGAGGTTTTAACCAATATGAATTTAATTTTTTTTCAAATTGAGGAAATTTTGTTATGTTATAACTTGTATTTTTATATTTCGCTGATTATTTGTATATTGTATTTATTTATTATTTATTTTATTTTGTGTATATTATCATTGCATTTCATGGCATAATTTTCGTCAATTGACAAATAGTTTGCATTAGGACAAATGAAGTTACGTGGCTTACCACGGCTTCCTTCAGAAAAACACACAAGTCTAATCTTTGGAAGTAATAAACGAATAGTTGGCTTGCGGTCATCCAACGTCGTTTATTAGCTTCACCCCGTTGTCTGTCCGACTCGGGTAACCGTCACTTCTATACCAATTCTAATCACCCTAGGATAGAGCAAAACCAAATCCGAATTTAAGCATCGGCCTAAAATGACCCAACACCCAAGGCGTGTTTAGTCAATTAGAAAGACCACCTTGAGTCCATAATGGCTTTTAGCCTAAAAGGACGATCATGATTGTATGTAATTAGTGGGTTTAGGGTCTGAAAAACTCAGAAAATTAGTGCTGTTTATCAGCTTCTTCTCTTGAATAATTCAACGAGATGGAGTTAAATCATGGCACTAAATGTTTATAAATTTTTTGTAATGCATTGAGTTTTACTCGATTTGTATTATGCTCACTTTTTGTGGTTGAGTGTAAATGAGAACTCATAAATTGCGTGCAGTCCATCACCTCCTATCTTGCATATTATACTAAGATTGGAGTTAAATATCAGCACTACATGTTTGTAAAATTGACTATTAAATGTTTGTTCAATAACACCAAACAATACTAGCCGGAGAACTTTTATAAGGAGTTGCTTCTAGTTTTACAGAGATATGATTCATATTCTAAAAATGATTTTTCATGAGACCATTTTATAAGGGTGAATTCATACTTTAAAGAATTAGTTCCATGAGATTACTTTTTGATTATAAAATTATCATCAACATCATAGTTGTGATAATGAGAATTGATGAATTGTTGCGCGCAACACAAATATAAGATGAGGCATTAAGATATTTCACTTTTGTTAATACCTAATTTTCACGACTATTATTGTTTATTTATGATGGTTAATTGTGTTGTGTATTGTTGAAGACAAACTAATGCAAAAATGAATAAGAAGAAAGGTGGCATGAAATTAGTCGATGATATCTCTTGTATTCAAATAAATAAATTAGACAAAAAAAAGGAAGGAAAAGAAAAGAACTATCTAAAACTGATTGTGTGCCCTTTAGAAATTCAAGAAGCAGTTGCAATTTAAAACTGTTTGTGTCGCCTTTTGAAGATCGTCTAACAGTCAATAAGGGTAGCCTTGCCATGCCATTGATGATGAGGTAATCACCTTTCACAACAACACTATGAGAGCGAAAGTCTTGCGTAGCCATTGATGGTGAGGTGATCACCTTCCACAACACTACTAGAGTAAAAGTACAGTTCAATAAAATGTTAATAATCATGTGGTATCTAAGTTCATTTTGCATCTAATTTTGCAGATCTAAATCTCACCAGGGCCTTCCCCTTCCCAAATCCACTGTTGCAACTCCTAAAATATAAAAAAATTCAAGAAAAAGTCTCAAGAAATCAAATACAAACCAACCAGAGGGATTTGCACTATTTTGAGGGATGAAAAACCCTTCTCCATTGCCTCTTTTGCTGCCAAATTTCAAGAGAATAGATGAACTCGCGACACGACCTTAACCCCATGTGCTTGTTTTATGTTGAAGGAGAAAATGTAAAAGAATTTTTTTTTACAAAAATCTTAAGATTCTCATAGGGCATTTGCCCCTTTTGCTTTTCTTATGTAGTAAATGGAGCAATGGGCCATTTTTCGCTATTTATACACTTCAAAAATTCAGTCAATATTCTTCTTTGGCCATTATACCAAGAAGTCTCGCTCATTAATATGCTCGTCTATGCAACTTCTGAGGAAAAAATAGAGCATCACTCCATATGAAGTGATCCAATCTTTGTTGCATAACACACTTGAACAAAAGTTCAACTACTTAAAATTAGCAATTTTGGCATTCTGCTAAAAAATATTCGAAGTACCTGGCAAAAGTCTCTGTTGGAGAATTTTAGCTGATTGTTGACCAACGGAAAGCATGGGAGAAAAAAAATGCACAAACGAAAAAGGGCAAAAGAATATCAAGAAAATAGCCTCTGTATTTCTAATATCGACATGTCAACCGCTGGAGTTACAAAGGCTCCAATTGGAAAGAAAAAAAAGGTGACGAAGACTGTTCAAAAAATATCACCTCCCTCATTTACCAATAGACAATATATATTCAGATCACTAGAAGTGCGTCAATTTATTGAATTTTGTTCCGCCTTATTGCGGAATATATGCACCTTCAGCGTAAGTTCATCAGCCTGAATGCCCTTGATCAACTCAAAGACACAAGCATCTCCTAACACTAAACTATTATCCCTAACAAAATGTACCCATCCTTTGCTTAGAAACATACACGTTTTCCTCCTAACGCAATGTGCAGTCCACTTACTGCCATCAGAATTTTGAAGTTTAATTGGTTCTGAAGTCTTTGGCATATAATCTCGGCTAAAATCAGGTGGTATATTCTGCAGATTAGGACAAATTGCAAAGTATGTGTCAAGATACAATAAGAATGTTAAATTAGTTTTTACATGAGTAAAGAACATATTAAGATACAAAGAAGTTTCAGCCAAAAAAAAACAAAGGAAATCAGACAACTTTAGTTTATTGTATAGGTAGACAGGCTCACCAGAATATAGTTCCGCACCACGTGATATTCTCCAAGAGTTATCATGAAGTAAGGATTCTCTGGCGTAAACATTTTGGCAGCAGTAGTTGCCCTGTTTGCTTTTGCATCCCTTAGTCGTCTTCCTTTACGACGATTACCAGAGCTGCCATGCACTACGGATTTCTCCTCTTGCTGTCCGGATGAATTCTCTGTATCTGCAATTCATCAAATTAGCTCTCAGTGATGCAGATAAGTTTTTCGAGCTTCAGATCTGTTGGTTAAACAAACTAACCAGTGTTTGCTTCTGCAACCCTTGGTCGTCCTCTTTTACGACGATTACCAGAGCTTCCATGCACTACGGATTTCTCCTCTTGCTGTCCGGATGAATTCTCTGTATCTGCAATTCAACAAATTAGCTCTCAGAGATGCAGATAAGTTTTTCGAGCTTCAGATTTTATGTTGGTTAAACAAACTAACCAGTGTTTGCTTCTGCATCCCTTGGTCGTCCTCTTTTACGACGATTACCAGACTTCCATGCACTACGGATTTCTCCTCTTGCTGTCCGGATGAATTCTCTGTATCTGCAATTCAACAAATTAGCTCTCAGAGATGCAGATAAGTTTTTCGAGCTTCAGATTTTATGTTGGTTAAACAAACTAACCAGTGTTTGCTTCTGCATCCCTTGGTCGTCCTCTTTTACGACGATTACCAGAGCTTCCATGCACTACGGATTTCTCCTGTTGCTGCCCGAATGAATTCTCTGTATCTGCAATTCGTCAAATTAGCTCAGTGATGCAGATAAGTTTTTCGAGCTTCAGATTTTATGTTGGTTAAACAAACTAACCAGTCTTGTGATTGGTTCTATCTGAAGATAATGGTTTGAATGCATCTGAACTCTTTGTATGATTACTTTCATCGAACTGAAGTATACAATTTTTACCGGTAGACAGAGTTGGTTCAGATAGGCTACCAGTGTGTAAATTTTTCGAATTTTCTTCCACCCTATTGCGAAACATGTGCACCTTCAGTATTAATTCAACAGCCTGAACGTCCTTGAGCAACTCAAAGACGCAAACATCTCCTACCAGTAAACTATTATCCGTAACAAAGTTCAACCATCCTTTGCTTAAAAGCACCCGAAGTTTCCTCCTAATGCAACGGACTTTCCACTTATTTCCATCAGTATCTTGAAGTTCAATCAGTTCTGAAGTCTTTGGCATATACTTTCGGACAAACTCAACTGGTATATTCTGCAGATTATGACGCGTTGTGAAGTATGCATCAAGAAGAATGAAAGATTAGTATGCATGAGTATGAATATATTGAGATACAAAGCAGTTTAAAGAAGAAAAAAATGACACGTTCAGTTTAATGTATAGGTACAAAGGCTCACCAGAATATAGTTCCGTTCTACATTGTATTTTTCAAGAATCTGCAAGAAATAAGGATTTTCTGGAACGATTTGGCAGTTTGAATGGCCTTGCTTGTTTCTGATACCTTTTGTTGTGCTCTTTCGCGACGATCATACCTTCCACGCCCTAAAGATTTCTCCCGTTGCTTGCTCGTGAAGGATTTCCTTGTATCTGCATTTATCAAATTAGATCTCAATATGATGCCGATAAATTTTCAAGCTTAAAATATTTGGTTGGAAAACAAACTAGCTGGTTTTGCAATTGGTTTTATTTGAAGATACTGATACAAATTCATCTGGAATCTCCATATATTTTACTTTCATTGAAATGAAGTACTTTGTTTTACTTCTCTCTTGTTCATTATTTGGATTAGTCATACCTCCAGTTGCCATTGCAGAGTGTATAGGAGTTTTAATACTTCGCCGAACAGATTTTCCACCTACTGGCTTAGTTAAACTGCCATTGCCCGATATGTTCAAATTCTTCGCATTTAATAGCTGTCCGTTATCATGTAATTTGTTTGTTCTGCTTCTTGTTTCATAGCAGCGTGTAATCTTAATCTTTCCAGATGCTATTTTACGTCTTTTGGCTCTATGCAGAAGTTCAGATGACTTAGCTGAACTCTCTGGTCCCTGCTCAGTTTCCAAGAGATCCACAATTTCAATGGAGCTCGTGAAGCCCTTGTCACCAACAATTTTATCCTTTCTGTGAGAAAGTTCCTGAGCCACATCACGTGATTTAGCATTACCATGACTCCTAAGTTGATAATCAATCTCAGTAGCGGCTAGGTCAAATATGTGGACATTGAAACATGAGGTCTGTCCATATTTGAAGAGTAAAAAGTACCAACAGTTGACAGAATGATGTTCCATAAACTCTTGCCAACCATCATGAAGCCAAATCATTTTACCAGCCTTCTTCAGGCCCACACACCAGAAATCATCAGTGGGAACAATAATCTTGACGGTATCAAGGAGTTCATCTCCATGTTCCTGGACAAATTTGTCTGGCAACCGCTGCACACAGAAACAACAAACATAGATTTTTAAAATTAAGATCAGACATAAGTTATAACCATTTAAGACATAAAATTGTAGTGCGAATTATAAAACTAATTAGAACGATGCAACACAAAAGTTTTACCAATTTCGAATTGAGTGCTCATGTACAGCAAGCAGAAAAACAATCTTAACAAATAAGCAGGAGCCACGAGACTAGAAGAATATGGCTGACAATCTCAAGAATTCGATCAGTACCAACAGTGTAATCTAAAGCCAAAAACTAGCCAATTTGCCATAGATACTGAAGAATCAATATCCGAACTACACCACAAGTATTAACTATGTATCCTAGTTTCTGTATTATTATCAACCATAGATTATCCATTCTTTGCTTTGTTATAAAAGGAGATTCTAAGTAACTTAAGGGTTACACAATTCTTCGAAGAAGCGGGGACATTGGACAATGATACATGCTGCATTAAATTCTGTTTACCACTAGAATGATAATCAAGGAACATCTCTCCGATGGGGAGGCAACTAAAATCATAAGACCTCAGACATAAATCCTCCATCATCCGCACCTGAACTTTTACCATCATTTGCACTATTGAATAGAGCAAATTAAAAAGGGATGACAACTGAACATCAATACAAGAACCAGGAGATACAAATAATTTATGTACAAAGCTCTCTTATATAAAATCCTTGAAGAAAATGCCACCTTAATCCTCCTAGTACTCCATCACGTTATTCAGTTCAAAAAGTACAGATATCGCGTAGCAATGAATTTCCTTGCGGGATCATTGTTTCACTTATGTGCACAAATTGAAAATGTTCTGCTACTTCTAATTATGTTGAATAACAAATGTCTCTTATGCGCACCCACTGGTTTCTGACCCTTAATTTGGGATTTGCCTCTTAGCAGGGATAGAACCGCCACTCGAGATACAGGTTCAGCAAAAACCAGTAACTTTAGCTGAAACTCTCATATGGATAAATAATCTATAAAAAATCCAGTAAGAGAAACTATGGCGGTGAAGTACAGTAGTATTAAACCACCTAAAAATCGTACTGAAGCTTCATATGAGAAAGCCTAAACTAGACACCAAGATTATAAGCTAACTAATATTGTCTGGTTCATAACAATTTATGAGTTCTAACTTCTACATACACTACTAGATCACCTAAAAGATAATTAGGTGAATTGTTCAAAGTAAGTATGAAAGTACTAACCCATAAAATAAAGGTAATACATAAATAAACACTCGAACTTAGTAAGCACTCCAACTTCGAGATCGTGAGTACATATATAGACATTCTCAACCTGCAACTAAACACTCTAACTTGTCCCTATGATGCTAATACCTATATGATTGTTTTGTAAATTGGAGCGTTGATGAGTTAGTTGTCTATATTTGCACTCAAAATTGGAGCTTTATCAAGTTTGAATATTTCTATTGTGCATAAAAATAAAGCATTCAATCAAATTGATACAGCAAATTAAATATATAACCTAAATTCTCTGTACTATTGTAGTACCAACTTACAAGTTGACGGTCATCCATGACAGAGGGCTCAACAATGACGTAGAAACTGCCGGCCGAGTAGGAGTTGGAGCACGATTCCATCATCACGCCGCATGCACTGACCGATTTCCGGTTGGCCAGTTTTTTTGACCCTTTGGCTAAAATTTAAGGGTACAATCTGTTCTTACTCGTTTAATATCTCATAAATGGGTTATTACTCATTTAATATATGATAAGTGGGTTATCGATCCATTTAATATCTCATAAGTGGATTATTGTTCATATAATATCTGATAAGTGAGTCATCATTGAGTAACTTAGCACTCGGGCCTTTACGTGTAGGACACTGTAGAAGATTTTTCGGCTTTTTAAAATTGAAAGGATATATAGGATATATATTCCCATGAATAACAAAATATGTTGTTAATTATAGATAATTAAAAATAAATTTCTTTGCCCAAATATTTTATGAAAAACTTTCACATATAGTCACTTAGAAATAATTAATTATTCTCCATAGCTATAGTTTGATAATTACAATTTATAGTTATATGTTATATGGAGGAGAAAGACGAGCGAGAATGGGAGAGAGAGGCGAGAGAGGGGAAAAGAGTGGGAGAAAGTGACTTGTATATGTATATTGGTTAGATAATTGTATATTATAAATATGTATTTGTATATATGGCAAGAGAGATCGAAGAGGAGGAGAGAGACAAGCGAGATCGAGAGCGGGAGGAGAGAGGCGAGCGAGAGAGGGCAGAGAGTGGGAGAGAGGTGACTTGTTATGTATATATAATTGTATATAAATGTATATTATACATACGCATTTGTATAAATCAAAAGCGAAATTGGAAGAGGGAGGAGAGAGGCTAGCGAGATTGAGAGAGGGAAGAGAGAGGGCAGAGAGTGGAAGAGAGGTGAATTGTATATGTATATAGGTTAAAAAATTGTATATTATACATATGTATTTGTATATTCTGGCGAATTATACATATACAAACGTGACTAATTATACAAACTCAAAGTCGACCAACATAATTAATGTATAATGTTAGTCGCGAGTGGTAATTATAGCAAGCTATTTCTATGATGAGTAATTAAATAGTATAAGTTTGCTTTATTGCGTAATTTTCTCATATTTTATTTTCTCTGTTTTAATGTATTAGTGTTGGTGGATTGGGCTCCTCTCTAGATATGAATCCCTTCGGTTCTTTTATTATCCCTTTAACATTTTGACATGTCATATAAATAATCTATGACTCAAATTTGTTTGATTAACTAAAAAGTTTTATCATAATTAATTTTAATCTCACTTCCTTTCTGTTTTTAAAATCCTTTCTTCTCTGTCAAAGTTTATTTTTTCAAATTCTTTTTTGCAACAAATCAACAATTTTGGATTTTTTTTTGTATTGTTGATATTTTACACTTTGAATTCATTTTATTATTAATGACTTGGTAATTTTTCAATTGATGCCTCTCTCTCACAAAGTTTAATTGAAATTTTCTGAGTTAGACCCCACCATTGATTTACCTTTTCGTCTCAAAAAGCTTATTTCAGTTTTCATATGTTATTTTTTTTAAAATAAGTTCTTTCTCTATCACTCTTACGGAACAACTTGGCAATAAGTCCTAGATATTTTTCAAATTTTGGCTTCTTTGAAACCCCTTTTTCGCAACTTATTTTCATTTATTTTGTTGGAATATTTGTATATCAAATTTTTCAATATCAGACTTAGTTAAAGAGAAAAAATATGTTGAAATGGTGTAAGAAGAAAATTAAATATGATGAAGAAGAAAATATCGAAAACATTCTTCAACACATGAACTCATGAATAATGAAAAGAGTCGCAATTATAAGTAATGCAATGAAATCGAATGAATAATATATTTTTTTATAAAAAAATATACATATCATTTTTCAGAAAGTTAATGATTTTTTTTGAAAAGATTTGGAAATTGGGAGATACGTTTTTTTTCTCTTTTTAAAGTAATGTGAGGAAAAAATGTTAAGGAGCCAAATTCATAATAAACTATGATAGATAAGAAAGGATTTTAAGTACAAAAAGAAAGTGAGATCAAATAAATACCGGCAATTAGAGACTGGGAGAAATTCATTACTAGAGAGGAGTCAAATTGAGTTTGAGTTGATATGTAGCTTTAAAAGAAAAAAATGTTATTTTATTTTGAAATTAATAATATACATATAAAATATATCGTGTTTTAATCTTGTAATTTTAAACCTAAAGTTAAAAATAAAAAGTTATATAAAAAATATTTCTTGATCGAACTATTTAACCATTGTGATTTTCTATATTAATTAAGGGATTGATACGTATACTAGCACCAAAAATGAAATGTATGATGATCATTTATAGCTTCTTTCTCAATTTTGAACTATAAAAGTTTTTCTTGTAAGATTTCGCACATTGCAAAATTAATCTGGTGTATTATTAGTATTTTATTTGGTACTTCTTTTTAATTTATGTACAAGTAATGTTTGCATTAGTTATATACTTCATTATAATGTAATACTAAGAATTTTTAGGTATTAGCAATGTAATGATTTTGATACATGCATTAAAATGATGAATGACTCAATTGCCCCTCAAGATCCTCTTTACATCTTTTCTACCATAGTAGTGGAGGGTATCCTTGTAAATTACTTTTTATGCATTATATGCTATTTTTTTTAGGAAAAATAACTTCAATACACAACTTTAATTTTTATATTCTCCAATTTTCCCTACTTTTTTTAAATATTACATAATTCCCTATTTTTTTTATTTTAGTGCAAGTTTTTAGATACATTACACTCTCTCTCCTATAATACACATTTACCAATTTTAATGCCTATTTTTTCTCCATTAAAACACTCAACCTCTTAAATCAGTTTTTGAATTTTAAATTTTTTCCATTTAAACCTCTTAAATCAGTTTTTGAATTTTAAATTTTGAAATTTTGAATTTCAAAATTCAAAAAATATAGAAGCAGGGTAACTTCCACTGCATTCTACCGTTTTGTTCTTACCAAAGTCACCTTTCACTTCTTTTTTTTCCTTAATCGTCTTCATCCCACTATTTCTTCATAACTTTGAATCTTTTCAACCCAGCAGATTTTTCTATTTTCTTCTTTTTATTCTTAATCCATATTCGACTATTTCTTCCTAATATTGAATCGTAAGAACCCAGACCCTTTTTATAGTTAATCCATCATCAATTCGTATATTCTTCTCTTTTTCGTTTTTGTTAATTGTTCTATTACTTCATAGTAATGGATCCGTCAATTAATAGAAGGATATATGATTCCGATGATGATAATTGGAAAGAAAATAGGAAAAAGTCTTTGCATGATCCTATGAATCTTCAAAAAGATTCAAACAAAGACCATGGCGAAAATCAAAGGTTGTAAAAATACAACAAAAAAGGAAAAAAGAAGCAGCAAACACTGTTGTTAGGCCTACATTGTCTCGGGTTAGTATTTTGGTACTTAAAAATGGTGTTGTTTAAATTAGTAAAATTTTTAAGGAATCAAGTGTGCTTGCTGATACATTTTAAAAAGGGTGTATAGTGTTTTAGATGGTCAACTGATACGTGAATTTGTTGTGTTTCATAATATTTTATATGTATCATTAGGTTTTTGAAAATTATTATAATGTATCATTCAATAAGTGTAGTAAAGTATAACCTGTGCTTGATGATACATGTTGAATCTGTGTGTACATTGTTTAGTCAATGTAATGATACATGTTCTGCATGTAGAATGAATTCCTGTATGATATCATGTATCAGTAAGGTATTAGTTGTTTAGTTGATCTACTCATACATGTTTTGAAACTTGTTATAATGTATCATTCATTAAGTTTAATAAATGTTTCATCAGATATAGTTGATGATACATATAGATTCTTTGTGTATGTTGTTTAGTCGTTGTTTATGATACATGTATTAGACATGTATCACATGTTATAATGTTTTATTTAATTCAATGATACATGTTATAGACATGTATCACATGTTTTTCATATAGTATGAAATTCTGAAAACTGAAACCATGTATCATTAAGTTATTAGTTGTTTTATTTAGTAGTTATATTTCTATATCGTTTTAATTTGCAGTTTTATTTTCAAATTGCAGCCATTGAAGTACAAGATTAAAAATATACCTACACATCCCATAAGGTTTGCTGTCAACTTTAACAACAATTTCCTAAAGGACTTTGAAAAATACGTGGGGGATAATGTTATCCAAATGTTTAAGGATACAATTTTTGGACCCTTTTTAGACATCTCTAAATGTAATTTTCAGGGCCAAATAACTAAGTGCTTATTGCTTTTAGAATTGGAACAAAGCAACCCTAATGTGTTGCATATTAGACATTCCAACGGGTGTGTCCTGAAATTTGGTATAGATGATTTTGCATTATTAACAGGACTTAAGGTCAGAGGAAATACCAATGATTTCAAATACCCAGAACAAACTAATTGTATGCTTTTTAAAAAGTATTTCCCTGGGGCAGTCAATAGTGTTACAAAGCATCAACTAGTTCAAAGGTTTAAGATGGGTAATTGGGAGAGCAATCAGGATGCACTTCAAATGTCTATACTGTTCTTTATTCATACATTTGTATTAGCTACTATTGATAACACAGCGATATCTATTGTCGACTTTCTAATGGTTGAAGATGGTAGATATCAACATTTTCCTTGGGGTCAGCTATCATTTTCCAAACTAATTGGTTCACTTAGACAGGATTTTGACGTTAGTAAAAAGTTGTACCGATTATATGGGATGCCATATGCACTAAATGTTTGGATATACGAATGTGCATCCAATTTAAATTCAGAAATAGCTGTGAGAGAACGCAATGTCATCCCAAGAATATGCAATTGGAGAGTTGTGTCTGAAAAGGCAAAGTTTGAAATGCTTATGTCCACCATTTTCCAAAAGGTAAAATTTTATTTTTGTATATGGAATATCGTTATTTATGTCTTTGTGATACATTATGAATTATTACTGTATCTAACAGTTAAATTATCTTATGTGTTTGTGATACATTTAGAATGCATGTTCAAACATTGTCCCAACAGCAGAGGAAATTGAAGCTTTTGATATTGCTCAAGTTGAACATGCTCATTCTACATCAATACCATTAGTACAACCAAACGAGAAAGATGATTTAGATGATTTCTCCACAAGACCGCCAGAACAATTATTGAGGACATATTCTAGAGTGTCTGATACATCTCCTCCACCACCGTCAAAAAGAAGAAAAAAATCAATTATTCAAAAAAAGAAGGTGTCAGAACAGAAACAGCCTGATCAATCAAATGTGTCTCCGACATCGGATGATGATGTACATGGTTCTGTTCCACAAGTGTCACCGAAATCGGCTGCTGATGTACATGGTTCTGTTCCAGACGTTTCTCAGAACTCGGCTTCTGATGTTCATGGATATGCAGATTCACAGAATGTCAACAATATAATTCCTCATATTGAAGAGTTGAAAGGATATTTGAAAACTTACGTAAGTAAATTATTTTGTAATTTTTAAACAAACTTTTATTTATCCTAAATGTATCTACAATTTTTAGGTTGACAAGAAATTTGAGGAATTGATTATTTTGATAAAAGCAAATCACTCCCAGCTGATGCAATCTATTAGCAAAGAGAACATCAATTTTCAGGCTGATACAAGCACATTTCAGTCTGACAAACAAACATCTCAGCAAATACCGGTTGATCTCGATGATATGGGTGGTGTAGCTGAGGATGGTGGTGGTTTTTCTGGTAAAAATGGTGAGCATCATATCGTCGACGGTGCAGGGGATGTCGATGTGGATGGTGTTGGTGTTGCCGTAAATGAGGGTGAACCAATAGTCAGTGATTCAAAGGTAATGTTTATGATACATTGGGTATGTTGTGTATCATGCACATATAGTCAATGATTTGTATCATGATCATTTTTTTTCTCATTTTATATTCTGTCATGTATCATACATATTTAATCAATACTATGTATCATGTGATTGTTATCAATGTTACGTATCAGCACAAATTATATTAACAGTTTTTATTTCAAAACTGCATATTCAGGATGGTGACGCACATCAGTCGCACCAAGATTTAAATGAACATATCATGGACCAAGCCGTTGACGACAATGTTCATCACAACATCCCTCATGTGTTGCCCGAAAAAACAACAACGGATTCATCGGTACATTTTTCAATTTTGATTTATGACACATAATTTCATTACACACAAATTTATTCTAAAAATCATTACATCATATTATACAGGATTCTTCAACTTCAACAACAATATAGCCATCAACTCAAGCAGCAATAGATGCGCTTATCAAAGATTTGGGTAAAGATGCTACCAATGCTAGACCATTATATTCTTACGATCCAAAGAATATAACTAGCAGTCAGTACTTGTTGACCGACAGTCAATTACCCACTGAAATTCCAATAACGGAGATTGCTGTTAAAACTGATGCAGTCACTCCTGCGCATAGAAATAGAATGCCTTCGAGAAGGATTCAATCTCCATATTGTACTTCTTTTGGGTCAAGCGAAAAGGGAAAAGAGAAATTGAAGGATATGGCTCGACTCCATTTCCCGTTCGAAGGATGTGGCATTGCAGATAAAGTTTCGCCGAAACTGATTGAGGATTACATGAATTGGTTGTTGAGGGGGCTTATAAAAAATCATAACAATAAGTAAGTTTTATACATTTTTTTTCTCAGTGTTAGGCGTAATCATTTTATATACAACTAATTCATGATACTTTGTTATATAAAAACTGTAAATAATTGAGTGTTATGTATTATGTACATACATTGAAAACTTATGTATCATATATGCAGGAACCCATCGGACGATAAATACAGATCAAGATCTTCTTCTTTTGGATTTACGATGATGGACTTTGTTGTTGCTTTTCCAATGAACAAGAATTGGTTTTATGCCATGTCACAGCCAAACAAGTGTTGGTCTGATGAGGTAAAATATTAAACTATTTATGAAATATGTATTAGTCATAACTATATTATAACATCATGATACATTATCTATAAGTATCATACTATTTAATTAGCAATGATACATTATGTATAAGTATCATACTATTTAATTTGCAAAAGTATCATACTATATTCACATAATTATATTTCTTTTTTTATATTGTTTAGATGTAAATAATTTCTTACTCTGTTTTCATTTTGTTTATAGCACATCGATGTGATTTTTTACTACCTTCGTAAAAAATCAAAACTTTGCAGCATGGATCAATACAGATACACAACAACCCACTGTTTGTTCATGTCACATGTAAAAAACTGTTATGATAGATATTACATGGACGATGATGATGATAGTCTTACTACACAAGAACATATTGATCGCGCTTCAGTTGTATCTGTACATGAGAGGTCAATAATTAACATCATCAAAGGGTTTGGAATACCAGCTGCTTTACCATGGCATCTTGTAGATGAGGTCTACATCCCAATTAACTGTGATCAACAATTCCATTGGGTATTGGCTGTTGTTGAGTTGAAAAACAGGTTGATAAGGGTTTTTGACTCATCAATTAGCACAAGGAAACAAACAATTCCTCATGAGATCAAGATGTTGTCTAAAATGCTTCCTTCATACCTACTTGACAGTGGATTTTTTGAAGAAAATGAACGCACAAAATTTGCTGATTGCCAAGCATATAAAGACAACAATAGTGGCTCACTTCTGGAGCCTCAAGTTCCTTTCATGATAGAATTTGCACAAGACATCCCTACATAGGAAAGCGATAGCCTGTAAGTATCAAGAATTTTTTCATTTGCCCTTTTTAATGTATCATTAAGTTTTTAATTTATTCTTTATTTTTTGTAGAGACTGTGGGTTATATGTTACTGCATTTGCCGAGTATATCAGTGACTAAATCAATATATCTTATGCTGATTTTAATCCTGATTACCTGCGTCAAAGATATGGAGCATTGCTTTGGAGTTATGGAAGTGAGAAGGCTAAGTGCGGATATGTTAGCGACAATGATGATCCACCAAAATCCAGGGGCGTAGTCACACCACCACCAGAAGAAGATTTAGTTCACATAGCGTAGCATTTCATGATAAAACAATGTTTTAATGTTATATTTATTATTTTTATATGTTATTGAACAACTATTTTTATCCTTTTTAATGTTATTTTTTTGGTTTTGTCAATTTCCATGAATATTTTTTTTCACATTACGTAACAAATTTGTTTATATTGAAGATATAAATATCAAATGATAGACGTAAAGATTTTTAAATTTTTAATTAAAAATAGACATAATAAATATACTGACAAAACCAGGTTTAAATCATTTAATAAAGTATAATCAAAGTATTTATAATCAAACATAGACATAAAGATTTTTAAATTTTTTATTTAATCTAGATGATACACTGCCAAAACCAAATGATACATATGTACCAGAAACACACTAAAAATAACTGATACATTGGTCAAACCGTATGTATAATGTACAATATGTTACACTCTAATCCTTAAATTTTACAAGATATTTAGGTAAATTGAATAGCATATTCATATGAATTGCTATTATTTTTTTAAAGGAAAGTTATTTACTGTATATTTCAATAAAAACATATCAAAAAAAGCATTACACAAGTTAAATTATATAAATTCACATGATACATGATTTATAGTCATTCTAAAGTACTCAATAACATTAACAATATATTTGTATTTTTTATCTAATGGAGATGTATCATTGTGCAAACCAATGATACACACTAAAAGTACATGATACTTTATACAAACAATGTGTACAAAAAATACACAATAAATGTACATGATACACTAGATTAACCATATGTATCATGTACATTATGTTATCTTACCGTAGCATAAGATTTATATATTCAAAACAAATATTGACACAAGTATTTTTATCAACACCAATAATAAGAAAGTATTTATAATCATAAGCACGACTTCAAATGTAATTACCACATGTTTGTACGTTTATTTATCTAAACACAAAGTGTTCAATTTGCAGTCGTAATTAAAACTGAAATTCATTAAAATGTTTACGTGATAAATTATTCTTTATATCATAGAAACATTACGACAAATTCACTTCTCTTTTGGGTAGAAAGTACAAGTTCTTCTGTTGTGCCCTTCTTTTCCACATTGTCCACAACAGTTTGTGTTCACCGAAATCTTTTCATCTGCATTCTTTCTTCTTCTTTTTCTTGGTCGTCCAGATGATCTTCTGTATCTAGGTGGATACACAGTTTCAGCTACCACGTGTTTAGGATCTGACCAATCTTTCTTATCTGGCATTGGCACCATTGGAATTTCATATGTTTTTGCCAACGCATCAGGCTTGTAATAATCAGAGCAATACGGATTCATATCGGTGACATTCTTTTTTTTCAATACAGCGATTGCATGTGAACAAGGTATCTCATCTAGTTGAAATCTACCACAACAACATACTTTCCGCTCAAGACAAACAATATATCTTCTTCCATTTTCATAAACCGAGAAAATAAACTCAGATGATGGAACAACCTGTGTACATTAAAAATTTTAAATATATAACTTTTAAAAACCAAATCATGTTAAAAAAAGCATAATGATACACAGAATTAGATATATATAATATAAAGTATCATATAATGATACATACCTCCATTTTTGAACTTTTAGCCGCGTTTATAATCAACAATTCCTCAAATTTTCTACCTAATGTGTCCTTTGTGTATGAGGCTACTTCTCTGTTTTTGCAATGCCAAGATCCAAAAAGAATTCTAACCTCTTCCAAGAATTCTAATATAGTTAATTGGCGTGCTTCAACAAGACAACCATTGATACATTCTGTAATGTTTGAAGTCATCATTCTACCTCTGTTTACTGTTGCATGAACTCTTGACCACTTTTCGTAACCTGCATATTCAAGGTACTCCTTAACCCTGTGATCAATTCTATCAACCTTAGCCATCAACTTATCAAAATCTTCCTTTCTATATGCCTTGGCCATAGAGTAGAATAGATCACTTATGGCCTTTCTGCTCCTTTTGAAGTTTCCACATACATTCTTCCAAAGATGCCAGATGCATGCATAATGAGGTACATCGGGGAACACAATCCTTACACTCTTCATGATACTCTCATTTCTATCTGAAACAACACACATATCTTTTCTATCGCCAAATGCATGTTTGAACTGTTCGAAAAACCATGTCCACGAACAATCATTTTCGGTGTCAACAACACCATATGCCAATGGAAATATGCAACCTGATTACACACACATTATATTATTTGATACTTAATATATAAAAAGACATCATTACTATAAATTAAAAATACCTGCGCCATCAAGTGTGCTTGCTGATACAAATGTCCCTTTGTAAGCTCCACTCAGATGTGCACCATCCACAACAACTACTGGTCTGCAGTATTTAAATCCCCTAATGAATGGTCTTAAGGCGATGAACAGATACATAAATTCATCCTCTTCAGTCTTATGCATTCTTATATAAGAATCTGGATACACAGTTTTTAACATGTGTATGTATCGCGGCATCCGTCTATATCCAGCAGATGGTTTTCCTCTAATCATGGAGAGTGCACGTTCTTTAGCACGACATGCTTGCTGGTAAGATATTTCAACACCATAATATTCTCTAATATCATCAATTATATCCCTTGGTGTATAAATTCGTTTATAATTGACCAATTTTGGAGCTGTCACTCCACTTACAAATCCCACTGTTGCTTGGACTTTGGTTAATACCCTCTCCCTCATCGGACACGTATGTTCACTATTGAAATTTCTAACAATGAATATATCAGATTTTTTCCTGCACGACGCCTTCATAGTCCAACCACATTTGTCTGAAAAGCATACCAACACATAGCTGCGTACATTTTTTAAGCATATTAATACACATATCAAATACATCATATATAATATATTCAACAATAATGTTTAAAGTAATCAAACAATGAATCACACAAAAAGTATCAACCAATTTTTAAGAAAAGTATCAAACTTTAATGAAATTTATCCACTATTTGTGATATGACTGTTTAAAATGATATAGTCCTTACTATATCAGTAGTAGTACTTTCAAGTATCAAATATACTTATTTCAATGTATCAAAAACAAATTCCTGAAATGATGATACATTAGATTATAAAATAACATATGAAACTTGCAGGTTTTCATATAGAACAGTAATGTTTCATGTACTAATTAAATTATAAAACAACACATGATACATTAAAATATCAAAATACTGTCATACCTTTGTTGATCAGACCTCTTCACTTTGCAGTTGAAGTTGTTCTTTATCTTATATTTCGTCATCACATCTACAAGTGTTGCTTTATCCTTGTATATCTGACCTGTCTTCACATCAACAATATCTGAATTGATTATAACATTTGCAACTCCAACTTCTGAATTTTTATGTGTCTCAAATAAGCTATTTTCAACTATTGCCAAAGCCTGTGTATCATTTGTTGTGCCTTCTACACACGTTATTTCTCCACTTCTTCCATCAAAGTTATGTACAGTACCACTATTCTTCTCAATTGTGTCAATACATAATGGATATATTGAAAATCCAGGCTCGTTTTTTTTCAGTTTAAAATATAGTTAAACACTCATATCGTTCTTAAGTTTCATCGGACAGGAGTTACCTTCTACAATGTATCGAATTTCAATTTCTTTCCTTGATACATCAATGTCCAACTCGGCCGCAATTGCTGCTTTGAGATTAGAAAACGAAATTGATCTCCAACAACGATTCCATCAATTTTGTAATTTTCATACTGCAATTCGTTCACCCAAATTTCGGAATGTCTCATCAAAATCGAAGTATTCATCTTCAAAAACTCACTGCAACAACAAAAAAATTTCGGCAGCTCCAATTGTTTTCTAAATAACTGATACAATCTTTGATTTTCAAATTTTGAAATTAATATCCAATTAAGTGCTGATTTAATGCTGATTAATGATCTGTTACCACAAATTAAGCTATTTTAGTAACAGCTTTAAATTTACCGTTTTTATCCCCTATTTTTTCTTAACAGTTTTAAGTTACTATGTATCATTTACCATGTATCACAACATTCTAAAGTATCACGGCTCAGCAATTTTAAGGGATTTTTTGTAATTATTAAACTTATCGGGACAGAATGTAATTATTAAATTACACTATGGGATTTCTTAAATTTATACATTAAAAAATGTATAATTTTTAAAAAGTGAGCTGACTTGACAAGCCTGTAGCCCACGTACTTATGGGTCGGGCCTGCCGTTTACTGACCCACACCAAAAATAGAATAGTCCAACCTGACTCGTAAAATATCAAAGCATATATGAATTAACCCGAATAGAATAAACTAGCCCATATTTATAGCTCTGTGGATTAGCTAGTCAAATATAAACGACTACTCACCAAAATTACTTTTTCAAAATTGTGCATGTGATTCTTCTATATCTAGCAGCATCTATTATATTGACTGCTTTTGAAGGTCAAGTAACTATCTATTTATTTGATTCCAAGCCAACATTGCTTTCAATTCTTTAACATCATTAATATTCCAATCTAGTTTGACTATTGTATGTAGAGCCAAAATTTTCAGTAAGCAAATACAAAATATTAAAAGTAAACACATGAAGAATATTGGCGAAGTCAGAATTTTTACGAAGAGTGTTCAAGTGCTAAAGTGAATTTACTCTTCTTAAGCAAGTAAAAAAAATAAAATTGCTAGTAGTAAATCCGAACACACAAAACACTTTGAATTTTTGTATGTTTACTCTTTCAAGGTGCCTGAAATTACTAGGCTATATCATATTATTATGTCAACAGTGTCCAAAATATTTTATTTAACCACTTAATTTATCATTTTACTTGAATATACGGTATACTATTACGACGAAGGGTGTCCAATTAGATACTCTGACACAAGTGTGGCTACACCACTGATGAAGAAGATATAGGAATTTAATATCTATTATATATACATGAAAAATAATTTTAACTATATATAAACGATGTAATCTTTTACCGAAATAATTACCCGTTGACAATTGTATAACAACAAGAAGAAAATTAATGTTCATTTCCAGCCTAAATGAGCATATTCCTCCAAGAGAACAAAATAAACATTATATTGGTGATTGAGATTGAGATT